TAACGTGCCAACAGAGATGAAATGCCAAACTTTTTTCCCGTCACAGAAAAAAAAAATACCATGACATTTTATTCACAGTGGAATCTGCTGAGGTTTTTGCATATCATACAGATTGTTTAAAAAAGTATCAGAGGATTAATTTACTACGGTATGCGCAATTGGTTGAGAACAATAGCTTCCGATGCATGCGCAATGACTCACTCACAACAACAAAGATGAAAATTAGCTTTCATTCCATATAAAATTGATCAATAAACGCTATGAAAGTTATTTAGATACATAGCTGTAAGATGGAATATGACATTTTTGCAGAAAATCGATTATTATTTTAATGAAAAATACTTGCAGCAACATTTCGATAGACAATCGGGTAAAAATATATTCTCCTATTCATGAATATATTATGTTAAAATTTTATTTTCATTACATAACAGATGAACGTAGTGATCTTGCAGTGGGATTTCGTACTATTGGTGGAACTTATTTTTATTGACATTGAAACAATCGTGTGCGCGTACTAGCGTTAACAATCGTGTGCGCGTACTAGCGTTAACAATCGTATAAGGTTGCATCTTGTCATTTTATCAACAAAACTATTCAGAACTTAAGTATATCTACGCAGAATGTATGAAAAACAGAGAGAAATTAACGTCATCCTATTCTGCATAAAACGGGCTATCGGGGATGATTGTTCACCAAATGTTGACAGTGAAGATGTCATAGGTTCTCGAAAACACAAATCATTGGCTGAGCCAGTTTTACACAACTAGAAGTAGGATTCCGAAATCCTCTCTTTTCAATACTTGTACGCTTTTTTATTGAATACGACTGTACTATTATTGCAGATTTTCAGAATATTGAGTCATCAACTTCAACAATGAATAAGGGCCACTATAATGCAACCAACAATGTAATAGAAAAAGTTGTGCAATCGCATATTGCTCTGAGCATTATGGAAGATACATAAATTTGCGGGAATCAATGTTACCAGGTGGCGCTCGGTTTTCATGGTTCCATGTCAAAGCCACGTCAAAACTGAGGGGAAACAAACTCAATCATCACTCAGTCCTATTAGTGACATTAGCTTGTGTACTGTGTACTGATGAGAGTGATAATTTTTTAAATTTCTTGACATTAATTGTCAATATTCGATCGAAAACGCCTGTTGTAGATGTTCTTTTGGCAGATATTTTGCTCGATTTAGATGAAAATAGCCGACCAGTAGTGGAAGGAGAAGCAGTTCTCCGTAATAATAATTTGATTTTGTGTGAGGCAGAAGACTTCAACAAAAAGCACATTTTTGCACTTTGTCTACAAACTTCGGCGATGAATTCTTCCCCACATGAAGTAAAATTGAATTTGGGGTCCAGAGGAACTCCTGTAGAACAATGAATTTGTATTTGTTCCTGCAAAGCAGAACAATCTGGGTATTGTAAACATGTTGTAACTGTTCTTTTATATGTCAATTGATTTGCTCGTCATAATTAGTTTGAATTGTTTGAACTATCTCCAATTCTTCACCCGTTCACTGTTCACTGAACAAATAAAAATGTAATGATGTAAAAAAAATTACCAACTCAACCATCATCACTTCCAACAGTGCCAACACTTTATGTCATTGACAAGTTTGACTACAGCTACAGCAAGTTGAATGCGATGTAGTCTATGCACTTTATCCATGGACAACAGTTTGTTTTCCCCAAGTTTGAAGTTCGTATTATGTAACCTAGATGTCGCCCACTTCGTGAATCTCGCGAATATACAAAGAAGTAATTCAGATAAAATTGGAGTTGGCCGGAGCGAAACAAGGCACTTGGACACATAAGGGTGTCCCATCCACGATTATAAGGGCGAGAGGAAGATAATGCAATTTATCGTATTCATATTTACGGGGCTGAAGATCGATTAGTGACATTCAATTTAGGTCATTCCTAGAGTCACTTGATGGTATTAGTGAGATAAGAGTTCGGACACAGAAATGACAACTGTTGGTGTTTTTGAATGTTTAGATTTATTAAGTTACACATCTTGCTGACAACTGCATTATAGTCGTTCCACTCTTTTTCATTCAAAATTGTTTGAATTTGACAAAAAATTATGAACGTCAGAATTGAAATATAATTTCATGAACTAATGACAAAAAAGCATGAATGAAAATTTACAACAGTGTAATGAATTGCGGGAATTCTGAAGGAAATGGCGATTTCATTTCTTTAATTTTCCAAAGGAATTATCAACCTTTCTTTTATATAGAAGGAATATATGAAACGGCCTAGATGGAAAATTAACTTGAATACAAGGAGAATTTGTGAGGTAAGTGAATACATTGAAATTCTTTTCTTATAATAGCAGATTGGAATGAAACTATATTTCAGGCCCATTTTCAAGCAGAAGATTTATGAGATCTGTTATTCTATTGATTCACAAAAAAGACTATTGAAAAAGAATCCGATATCATCATGAAACGAAATACAAAACAAAATTATCAGAGGAAGAGGAATTGATTGCAAAATAAAATTGAAAAAAACGAAACTGAAGAAACCAAGTGAATTGTAACAATATATAATATCATTGAATGACGTTTTCAATACAGACCAAATTCAAAATTTATTAGCAAAAAGGGAATGCAGCAGAAGGTGGAAAATCAAAACAATCTTTCTGTTTTACACTTTATCACTCGGGTATAGTTTTACATACAATGAGGAACTAGCTTTAAGTATATCCATTTGAGTCTATTTTGTCATATTAAAATGTTGTTAAATGAATTCTTTATTTTCATTACTATTGTTCTGTGAAAAGTGTGTCGCTTTATAAATTGAAGTGGGTTTTTATACCCTATTTCTAGTTTCCATCTGCGACAATGATTGATTTGACAAAAAATCTAACCTCTGAACGCGTATCTGACAATAAGGCGCTATTAGGGAAATGGAAAAGACAAAGAGCAGAATATATGTATTATTCTTTTATTCACGCAAACCAGTGTAATATAGAAAATAGAAAAGGACCGAAGTTCAGCTGTGTCCGAGCTCTTGTCCAACTAATACCATCCAGTGACTCTAGTCATACCTAGGTGACAACCCTATACAGAGTGATTGATGAGGAGAGTCACATAGTCGAATGCTGAATAGGGGAAATCAAGACGAGATGATGTATATACATACTTGAATGAAAAATTTTGTTGGTCATCCTTAACGAAGAAATTGCCATATAATTTTGTATCATCGTGATTTGCTAAAATTTAGCAGCGACATTTCTCTATTGAAACTATTCAAGATGAGATATTACGTTTCTTGGAGGGCACACAAAACTATCTGTTAGGTTAACTTTGATGAGCATGCCCTGTCCACATCCAGATTACACTAACAGATTAACCAAATGAAATCATGAAACTAACTCATTTGGGTTCCAACTAGGGTTCCAATGAAAACGATCCAACTACTTCCGACATATGACAGAATACAATGTTTGCCCTGCAATTACCTACCAAATGATGTAATTCTGGAATGATTGCTAGGCACACATTGGTCAGTACTAGGCCTTACCTCAAGGGTATCTAGATGACATTCATGGATGATTAAAACATCATTCATAATATCCACAAATGTTATTATCTACATAAATTCTGTGGGCACTATTTACTTTTATACAGTTAACCTTGTGAAAAGCATAAAAGATAGTTTACATCATGCAATCTTCTTGGAAATAATTGATAATGTATTATAGCAATAATGCATAATATACAGAGTGGCCCATCGAAAACGTACCGCAGGGCAATACAGACAGGGGAAGAACTTTTTGACAAAATCCAAAAACACGCCAAGTAGCCCAGTCACCTAAGAAAAAATAGCGAGAATCGGAGCCAAAGTTTTGAAAATTGGTATACGTGTTCCTTTTAGCATTACATCTTACCAAAAAAAAGTCACCACCCATACCTGTAGAGCTTGCGCCGCCATCTTGGAAAATAGGTGCAATATTTCAGTTTTTCACGTATATCTCGGTAACTGTCAACTTTATCGCGATAAAGGTAGAGAGGTAAAAGGAAGCTAACAAAATTTATCGTAAAAAAGTATTCATTGATTATTTCCGAAATATGCACGGTTTTGGACTTATGTCGCCACAACGATTTAGCAAAATATAAAATTCTACTGCAAACCGACTGGACAAACTATAATTTAGTTGTATACGCTCATGGTGACCTGCAGAAAAGCTGCTAGATCTTATAATCAAGAGATCCAGGATGGTCAGAGTTGCCCCAATTGTCAGCAGGAGCAAGACAGTACTGTTTCGACCCACCAGGCCTCAAAAGCCGCTCTCGGTCTGCTGACATCTGGGACAACTCACGCTTCGGGTATATCACCCATTTCGAAGACGCAGGGTATAACATGGAGAATAAGGCATGTATTTTTCGTTATTTGAAAATACAACCATCGGGTCGGGTTCGTCCGGAACTTCGTATTCATTACTTAGAAGAGATGAAACGGAAAAATCGTCCTTCACCTCGGATTCCAGCGTTTCGGCGTTGTCCTGACAGTATTGTGCGTTGAGGCACGATGCTCCAAGGCAATATTCGCAACTGATCGAGCATTTAAGACCCGCTTTTCTGCATCCGCAGGCTGCCGTGCATCCTTTCTTGCAATCGCTAGAAATCATCTGGAGCAGCAGGTAGGGTAGTTGGCACAGGTACCAGACCAACAGCACTCCTCTTCCACCCCCAAACCTCAGGACATTTTTTATTACCTAACGACTCTTGTACCTGATGATTGACTCTGAAGGAGTGCTGCCTCAAAGCTGCTTCCGTCGGTGGCAGAGAAGCCAGATCTACTTTTTTTTTGTAGCAGATTTGGCGAACAGATTGTTCTATAGTTTGTTCAATGATGTTTCCGTTTTATGGGCACCATACAGAGCTAGAAAGAATCTTTCACATGTAGCAGATACTTCTTCACTCTTAGCTTCCGGGTTGTTGAAAGCCTTCGCAACTTCTCGTAATGATGGCCGGTCCTTCATGAGTTTGAAGCATTCCAACTTTCCTTTTTTAAAGAAACATGATGTGGTATCACAACCCCTAAAGGTATGTGAGAGAAGGATATTGCTCTGTTATTTAATATTGGTTTGTAGTTCGCGGGAACAGTACCATTTTGCCTTAATACATTGCCTTTTTTTGGTTTGAGAAAATAAATGTTGCGTTCTGCTGGAGCCAAAGCTATGAGTAGAATAAGTAGATCTACATCTTCTCCAACAACGGTGATTTGGGTAGAGGAAGACATTTCAATAGCTGTCTGTATTGTTAGCGAATCTGCATCGTCCACTGCTTGCTTTGTGATGAACCCTTCATTTTTTCTGATAATATAGCAATCAATCGCTTCTTGTTCTTCGGGTTAGCTAGTAATTTTTCTTGTGCGACAGTGACCGGCATGTTTTCATCAAACAAAACATATGTCTGCACATGTATTTTTAAGAGCACGTCTATGCTGTTCAGCCTTTTTAGTTCTATCAGCATCATCAGAGTACCCGTCGAAAACAATCACCGAATTAGAGCCGTAGTGTTTCCTGACGTAGGCAATGTAACTGGAGCAGATTGACAAGAACGTTTGATTTTACTGCCAAATCATACGATGTAAAAGAAAAAAAACATTAATATGTGGCAACACTGGTATTCTGTAATGGCCGATCGCTGTTGCGAGGATCCTCGAATATGGCGCCGACTCTCTGACAGTTACTTGTAGTTGAAATATATGTATATCAGAATAATTATAAGTAAGTTTCTCAAATATCGCATATTGTTTTACGATTTACTGATAAACCATGCACTAAACGAGTATTTATGTAGGGAACTTTTTTTTTCTAAATTCAATTTCCTTCATTTTACCTCAGCATATTGATATCGATAAAGTCAACAGATACTGAGATATAACCGAATAACTGAAAAAGTGCACACATTTTTCAAGATGGCGGAGTTAGCTCTACAGGTACAGGTGGTGACTTTTTCTTGGTTGAAAGTCATGCCAAAGGGAACATGTACACCAATTTTCAAAACTTTGGGTTCGATTCCCGCTATTTGTCAAATTTGATACTAAGGTGATTGGGCTAAAGTTTGTATGTCAGGGGGGGCAATTTTAACGCAAAAACACAGCCAAAGCTTCAACCCCCTGAGTGAAGGGGTCATCCCGAAATTTAAATGAATAGGAGGTCAAGTGATGCTTCATTAAAAAGGGCTCAAGGCAATATCAACAAACTGTATACAGGGTATGTCACGACGAGCTTACACTATTTTTATATCGAGAATCAGTCATAAGAAATTCATGAAAATGTGAATGCTCATATTTTCGAATACGCCCTCTTTATTTAACATATTTTCGACGATGCAGTGTTACCGCTTCTACTAGAAAGTAGTAGCAACATTGATATTTCGACTGGAACACCCTGTATTTCATCGCATTTTTAGATTCTCCCTGAAGAGCTGATTTTATCAATGTATCACACTTTCTATTGGGAAAGATTACAGAGATAAAGGGTGTTCGAAATTGAGTTCTCTTTCTCTATCTCAATTTTTGATTCACTATTTACTGATATATAATTAGAACAGAGAGAGGGTGGTTTGAAATTCAGAATTCTGATATAATACATACAAAGATTTGTGCGCCAAAAAAAAATATCACAAAAGCTGCATCGGAAAACATCGTTCATGTCAGTAATGATATCATTACATATACAGGGTGTCCCATAAGACATGGATCAAATGGTGGGGTGGTAGGGGGGTCATTTCCAATCAAACTCCCCACTTGAACTCCAAAATAAAATAATAGTTATTTATTATACAAGGGAAAAAAGTTGTAGATTTTAGCTCCAGGTTGTGTTGTCTCCCGACGCGTAGCGGAGGGAGACAAAAAACCGTGAGCTAAAATCTAATATTTTTCCCGTGTATAATACACTATTTTTTTCTGTGACAGAAGAAAGGACGAATCAATATTGAGAAAATGTTACATTATTTTGAAATCTGAAAATTAACGACGTGAAATTTCAAGTTTTTAACAGTAGGGACACCTGCGTTCTATAGGCATCTTTATCATTCTTTTGAAGTAATCAAATATTTGATGTCACTTCTGTCAGTCTAATTCTGTGATTTGATTTCAAAAAATTGCGAATTTAGTGGTTGTTTAGTAATATACGTAACCGCGAAGTCGAATCGAAGATAAGAGGACTTGCAGTTCTTTCTCGGAGACGGTATTATTGACTCATTTTTCGGAACTATAGCACAAAAAAAGCCATCAACAGTGTATATATATGTGATATATATCCGGGAAAAAAGTACTCACTTTTTGCCCACGGGAAAAAAGTAATTTATGAAAAGTGGCATTTTATAACCTGCCAACAGAGATGAAAAGCCAAACTTTTTTCCCGTCACAGAAAAAACAACATAACTGATGCCCTACATAGTTGGCTGAGCAACAACTCACTATTTCTAAACACATCAAAACCAAGTTTTACTACTTTCCATACCAGACAAAACACCAATCTACCTCTCTTAGACGTAAACATCTGTGGCACACCTCTTGAACACAGTACATCCTCCAAATTCTTAGGTATTATAATTGACAATGATCTCAGCTTCAAATCACATTGCAAAAATCTAACTAGTGCTCTACACTCCAAATGTTTTCAAATCAGAATCTTGAAAAGTGTTCTAGACACACCTAGTTTACTCCTGTTCTATCATGCTCAGGTTCAATCAAGAATCTGCTACGCAATCACAATATGGGGAAACTCTCCAGCAGCGAAAGATGTATTCATCGCACAAAAGCGAATAATACGTTCTCTTGCAAACGTCTCCCAGCAGACTTCATGTCGAGATATTTTCAAGAAACTTGAAATTCTCCCACTTCCTGGTCTTTATATTTTAGAAGTTTTAACATACATCCATGCGAATAAAAATTTATTTTCCACGAATAATCAACACCACAATTACAACACGAGGAAAAAAAACGACTTCCATTTACCAAATCCACATCTCACCATCTGCCAAAAATCACTAAACGTGATTGGACTGAGATTATACAATGTACTTCCCAGTGAGCTCAAAGCAATTGAACAAGTGCATATATTCAGAAAAAAAAACCAAACGTTTTTTACTGGGTATTACTCCATACAATCTTGACGAATACTTTGAACATTTTTGATGTATGATTTTCAATAATTTTATTTTATTGTTATGAAGAATATTTTACCTGGAATTTATCATCGATAATTATTATAGTTCAGATATTTTCTCCTTTTCTTTTAATCTACATTCCTATTGTTTGTTAACTTTTAAGAAACATTTTATTTATACATGTACTTTGTGCTGACCTGTCCTATAGCTTTATAAGCTCGTATTTGGATCAATAAAACTATCTATCTATCTATCTATATGTGGTTATCCAATTCTTGATGGTTCTCGGAGCGACGCACCACCTCGCAATGTCTTTTGGTCAAAGAAATCTCTTTTGCTTCTTATCAAGTTTTAGGTTGCGTCAAATAAACCATGACAACCATACCATTCAATTATCTAATGATGCAAACAAAATGCATGAAATACCGAAAATCCATCATTTTTCACTAGAATTGTACCAGCAATACAAATTGCCACAATGTTATCAAGTCCAGACCCATTTCCTAGAATTATTCCGCAGGGTTATCCCCACCATTCACGATTTCATTCGTTCATCCGTGTTTGGCTTTTAGAATTGTTCGCGTATACTTTTCAACGATTTATGACGTTCTATGAATTAAGCACGGTGAATATCTATTGTTATAACCATCACCATGCCTTAACGAGCTCTTTGACGATAAGGTTGTGAGGCAAGTTGTCGAATACACCGTCGGTAGCCACCAAAATAACTAACCCGTCCTCCACGGAAAATCCTCTGAGACCGCCGAATTCGGCCGGTCCGAGAGTACCTGCTGCCCGCGTGTTGAAGTAGTGCTGTTGCTCCTCGGAGCGACGGACCACCTCGCAACGTCTTTGTGTTTTGCTTTTATCAAGTGTTGAGTTGGGTAGAAGAAATAAGGAGAACAGTAATATTCAATTATCTAATGATGCATAAATCATGCATGAAATACCGAAAATCTACCATTCTTTCACTAGAATTGCACCAGCAATACAAATTACCACAATTATATCAAGTCCGGACCCATTTCCTGGAGTTATTCCGCAGAGTTATTCCCACCATTCACGATTTCATTCATCCGTGTTTGGCATTTAAAATTGTTCGCGTATACTTTCCAACGATTTATGAATTAATCACGGTAACTATCAATTTTTATAACCACCACCCTACCTTAACGAGCTCTTTGACGATAAGGTTGTGCGGCAAGTTGTCGAATACACCGTCGGTAGCCACCAAGATAACTTCCCCGTCCTCCACGGGAAAAAGTCTTGAGACCGTCGGATCCGGCCGGTCCGAGAGTACCTACTGCCTGCATCCGGGAAGCGGCAACGACATTTGAAAGGGCGGTTGGAAGTAGTGTTGTTGGTCTTTGGAGCGACGGACCACCTCGCAACGTCTTCATGTTTCGCTTTTATCAAGTGTTGAGTTGGGTACAAGAAACCATGAGAACAGCAACATTCAATTATCTAACGATGCATAAATAGTGCATGAAATACCGGAAATCCATTTTTTCACTAGATTTGCACCAGCAATACGAATTGCCATAATTATACCAAGTCCGGATCCATTTCCTGGAATTATTCCGCAGAGTTATCCCCACCATTCACGATTTCATTCATTCATCCGTGTTTGGCGTTTAGGATTGTTCGCGTATACTTTTCAAAGATTTATGACGTTCTATGAATTAATCACGGTGACTTTCAATTGTTATAACCACCACCATACCTTTACGAGCTCTTTGACTATAAGGTTGTGCGGTAAGTTGTCGAATACACCGTCGGAAGCCACCAAGATAACTTCCCCGTCCTCCACGGAAAATCCTTTGAGACCGCCGAATCAGGACGGTCCGAGAATACTTACTGCCTGCCTCCAGGAAGTGACAACGACAGCTGAAAGGATGTGTTAAAGTAGTGCTGTTCCTCTTCGGAGCGACGGACCACCTCGCAACGTCTTTGTGTTTTGCTTTCATCAAGTGTTGATTTGGGTAAAAGAAACCATGAGAACAGCAATATTCAATTATCTTTTGATGCCTAAATAATGCATGAAATACCGAAAATCCACCATTTTTTCACTATAATTGCACCAGCAATACGAATCGCCGCAATACTAATTAGTCCGGACCCATTTCCTGCAATGATTCTGCCGAGTTATCCCCACCATTCGTGATTTCATTCATTCATTCTTCCGTGTTTGGCGTTTAGGATTGGTGCCGGATAATTTTCATCAATTTAATTATGAACCACCGTGTCTTTTCATTGTCAATCAGTCTGAGGTCACCCTACCTTAACGAGCTCGTTGACGATGAGGTTGTGCGGCAAATTATCGAACACCCCATCGGTAGCCACCAGGATAACGTCCCCGTCCTCTACCGGAAAATCCTCTGTGACTGCCGAATCTGGTCTGTCGGAGAGCACCTCCTGCCTGTATCCAGGCGGCGGCAGCGACAGCTGGAAGGGCGTGTTGAAGTAGTGCTGTTGCTCTTCGGAGCGACGTACAACCTCGCCGCGTCGCACCACCATGAAGCCGCTGTCGCCGATGTTGGCGGTGTAGAGGTGGCAGGTCTCGGCGTTGAGGAGCACCACGCAAGCCGTACTGCTACCTGGAATTGCAAAAAAATCACGATTGAAGAAAATCCGATTTTTCTGCAACTGACACAAAAGTCGTCCATTTTGATACCAAAATTAGCTCTTGAATTGACGTTTCTATTACTGACACAATAATAGGTATGTTGCTTGGCAACATATTTAGTTCCTCGAGCTAAAAAGGATGTACTAGACGTCATCAAGAATAAACAATATTGTTACGGTTGGTTATTTGGGTTGGGACGCATACCTGATTGGTTTCCGATTTCGGCAGATTTGGCATTTCATACCCATGCTGGAGATATAAATACACCTTCTCATAGTTAAGTATAGGAATTATAATCATCTCAGTAAAGTATTCTTGTTTTTATCAGGAAAGTCTTCAAGATTCACATACTTGCTTGATCTGTATTTCATTCGTTATTCTCGGTATGGATAACTTGTTTTTGAATAGTCACAGTAAGCAATAGTTTTTTGTCTCTTGTCTCAAACAACGATATTGTTTACCTCTATTTGATTATCAAGTCGAACACAGTGTAGTATGGAGAGGAATAAATAATCGCTATTATTATTGTTGATATGCTCACTAACCTAACATTTTCCAAGCCCTATACCTGGCACTGGCGCGGTATTTGCTATTAGAGCACCTGGTCCATACACATGTCACTCTGTGGTTGTATTTTTATTGAAACTACAATTCGAACATCCTTGAAAATTGAATAAACCTGCTGTTAATGCAGGTAGAATATACTCATCACTCGGATTATTTGTTGCATTGCATACATATGGCACGGCATTGGTGGTTACTTCACATATTCATTTGAGTTAATTGTTTCTGTTGCAGAAAAAATAGCATGTTTCATTCGGATCAAAAGTGACTTTATGATATGAACCTGACGTGAGTACCCTAAAAAAAATACTGAATAAGCAAGATTCGACGTATTTCTGTAAGGTGCGCGCGCACAAAAATGGCTGCGGCCTCAACTGGAAAATTCTTGTCAGTCGAAATCGACTGACATGGCAGTCAGAGTGTTAAATCATGATTTTTTCGATTCATACAGGTTCTTTATTTATTTTCATTATTTTTCTCTATTCGCCGAAACATATTTTTTGTCTAGATTTGAAGTTAGAAAATCACCTCGGCGACATACAGAAAAAACTTATTGTGTTGCCATGATAATTTTCGGCAGCCTGTCACGTCTCTTCTGTCCAAACAATGTGTGGCTGAATGAATATTTATTAGTTTTGTTTTTACACATACAAGCGCTGGCTGCAAATTTTGAGTGTCATCTGATAACGAAATGCTATAAATGTCCCAAGGGCATGTGAATTTATTGTATTTTATCGTAAGACACCTGTCCAATCACTATCCTGAGCAAAATTATTGAAAAATTGCACTTTCCTGTGCGGTAATTAGAACGTAATTTCACGATTTGATAACGAGATGAGAATTGTGCCTTTTGATAACAATTGAATAGTAGATATCAACAACCTACCTGTGCCACCTCTTAATCTGAGCCAAATCCACGACAGAGGGGTTTATTTGCTGCCGTTATTCCGGACATACTCCCGTCATGTGATGACGAGTAGAAAAAAGAGCAAAATCCCCTTTGCGAATATCCAAATGTGTCGCGATTTTAACTGAGCTAAGTTGGTGGCAGAGCCTCAGTATTTCCGAGAATATTTCGCACCTCTCGAAAGATAATATCCGATGGACCAGTATGAAACTCAACAAGTGGATTCGAATGCTTGTAGTGCGAGCACCACATGAGTTTCACCCTGGTCCATCGGGTATTATCTCTCGACAGGGACGGAATATTATCGGAAATACTGTCGCTCTTCCACTAACTTAGCGCAGTTCAAATCGCGGCACGTTTGGATATTCACAAATGGGACTATATCCCCATTCATTTGCTTTTTGTTTAAACTCGTTATCACATGACGGAAGTATGTAGGGAATAACAGCAGCAAATACATCGCTGTGCCATTGATTTGGCACAGATTAAGGGGTGACACAGTTAGGTTTTTGAGATAATAATAACTTAATTGAATTTGAAATAGGAATCCTAATACACAAGTTAGATATGAATATCAATAATTTATAATATAAAATATAAATATAACAATTTGCTTACATGAGATAATACAAATGGAGTACATCAAGTAAATAAATATACAGACATTTACAAGAAGCCATGTTTATGCATTAAAACTCTTGACGATATCTGGACTTGCATTCAAATGAAATCAAATCATGTTCTTTATGAATATATTTAAGCAATTCTATCCTGAACTTCTCCAACAATGAGATGGATTTCAATGTACAGGGCAAATCATCAAATTTGACAAAGCCTTCAAAAAATATAGTGCTAATTGAACTTCTGTAGTTTGTTCACCTTATATGAAGTTTGTTGTTGTTTCGAGTCAAATGATTATGGATATCTTTATTGAAGGTAATTATTGTGGTTCGCAAATATGTTGGGGTCTTTTTATTCATAAAAATCCTAGAACAGTAGTACAAACTTTGAGATACTGAAAGATCCACCATTCAATTGGTATCGAATGGCATAATTCTTATTTGGTCATCAAATCGCGAAATTGATTGCAAATTAACGCACAGGAAAGTGCTATTTTTCAATCATTTTGTTCAGGATAGTGATTGGCACAGGTACCGTTCGATAATAGTATATTATGTAACAAGTGTTATAAACGTCCTTTTAGTAACGGGTATTTTAAGCACGAGCGGAGCAGAGTGGAGCGAGTGTTTGATGAACGGGTGTCTAGAAGAGTTCATAAACGCGTTACATACTATGATTCTTCTTCTAAAAAAGTTGTTATTTCAATCTAATAAAAATATGAAACTCAGAAAAACTGGTGGCATAAGATGACATTATTAAATTAACCCACTGTGACGCCCCTGGAAATATTATTTCGAATCTAATTGTACCAGAAGAAGCTCCATATTAATATTAACAAAACCACAACGTTTTATTGAAATTGATGGAAAGACAATTGAGTAATATTAATACCCTGTAATACCGGTGTAATTTATAGTGTTAAAATAGTCACAGTCTAATATAATAATATGTCGGGTTATAGGTAAGGAATACGATCATGCTAGGTAAGGTTTTCTGTTGTATAACTTGGACTCATGTGCTCATGTTAACATAATATTTCCATTCTGTGAACAATAACCAATTTATTCAATTATATAGGGACCGTTGTTATGTTATAAAAACATACGCGAACTAATTTCTACTAATAAAGTGTCATATGATTGGTAACAACAATTATTAAATGAGATGAACTCGCTATAAACATTTCACAACTATGCACTGCGAACTAGACATAGTGAAAAAACTAATTAATAACGGCAAGAATTCAGAATAACAATGACCAGTCCAATCAGATAATTCGTAGCTCTGTATCCTTCCTTATTCAAATGATATCAACAATTCATGTAGAGTACAATCCTAATATATTTAATCATATTGGAAAAGTTATATTCAATACTTATTCAATTCGTTGGGCCAGGTTACGCTTAACCGGCGGTCTTCGGACTGCTGGCTAGAGACTACCCTGCACTGATGAGAGAACTGTATGTGTACTGTATTTACAATTTAGCAAATTAGCAAATCTGCATTCTCCTATACTCGAGCCTATATTATCATAGTTTTGTAACGGTTCTAAGGGAGTGAGAGTAATGACCCCCGCCATTCCTCAAAAATAGGAACGCCAATGAAATGTGCACTGTATGCAAAAGCAGATAACGAATACGTGTGACACTCGAAACAGACCAAGAATAATAATCTCGATGATAATAATAATCAGTCGATTCATTTAGCCGACTGGAAATACCTAAATTAGCATTCCACACAACACTTGTGATAACGTGACGTCAGCGAGTCATGTGAATCCGCAGTTAGGCGGAACAGAAAAATATGTTGGGATTGGGAATGAAATTAAAATGTAACGTAGGTTAGTAATGTTCATTCGGTGTTGCCAAATGTTGCCTAATTCCCTAATTGCACCAGATGTAGCTAATAATAAATTACATTCTATTATTTTATTTTATCAGAGATATTTTATCTCATCGAGTATCTCATGCAAGGTAGACTACAGTGTAGTCCACAAAAAATTATCTTTATGAAAATGAGAAAATGTTGAAATATATGTACAACACCGACTGACTTCTAGTAGTTCTAGTGAAAATTGTACCCTACATTTTTTGTGTTGCATTCGTTGTGGACAAAGGTTGCCTAATTCCACCAGATTTCGCTAATAATAAAGTACATTTTATTATTTTATTTGATCAGAGATATTATCTCTACTACGGTGCATTCCACATGGAATTATCTTAAAAAAAATGAGAATATGTTTGTGTGAACCCCAGTATGGCACCAGAACTTATATGAATTATACCGTGAATTATAAGTATCCCAAACACCGACTGACCTCTAGTAGTTCTAGTGAAAAGATTAGCCTACATTTGTGTTGCATTAGGTGTTGACGAAGGTTGCCTAATTGTACCAGATGTAGCTAATAATAAAGTACATTCCATTATTTTATTTGATCAGAGATATTGTTAGGTGCATTCCACAGGAAATTTTCTTAATACAAATGAAAATACCGACTGACTTCTACACCTTCTCCAGTTGAATTTCAGAAAACGTCAATTGTATTCCTGAATAGTCAATTGAATTTCAGAAAGCGTCAATTGAATTTCAGAATTGTAACTTGTATTTCAGAAAGCGTCAATTTTATTTCAGAAAATATCAGTTGAAATCCAAATGAGACATTCTGAAATACAATTGATGCTTTCTGAAATTGTATTGACAAATCCGAGGACTAATCTTATATACAATTGAAGCTTTCTGAAATACGAGTGACTATTCTGAAATTCAATAATTGATGCTTTCTGAAATACAAGTGACTATTCTGAAATTCAATAATTGATGCTTTCTGAAATACAAGTGACTATTCTGAAATGCAATTGAAGCTTTCAGAAAGCTAGAAAAAGACGGTATGGAACGAATATGCTTCCGTTCTCACATTCTATGATTCTCAACATATGAATGGCAAGAATATTCTTAGAAAACTGTTCAGTGTTCTTTCCATATATACTAAGCAGCATAGCCGGATTTAGAGGTCTGGAGGCCCTGGGGCAACAAAAGAGTGGAGGCCCCTGGCTCCTAATTGTTTTCCATACAAAATTAACAAATTTCTCGGTCAATAATTTTTTGCGAAACCAACTAAATTATTTTAACATATACAGGGTGTCCCTAGACCAGTGGGACAGTTGAATATCTCCTGAACCAATAGGAATTTTCAGGATATTATAATTTCACATCATATCGCATTATGAGTGCTAACTTCAGGAATGACTATATTTTCTACGAGGGGCGCAAGAAAGGTTCACAAGAGCGAACATCAATTTTTTCTAATGGTACACCTTGTATTTCATTGCATTTTCATATTCTCCTTGAAGAGCTGAATTCAACGACCTAGCACACTTGGGGTCTAGTGCGAGGGGTAAATCTCCTTGGAAGTCTGGTGTACACTACGTTGGAAGTCTTTGGAATTCTTTGGATGTCTTTGGAAGTCTTTGGGAGTCTTTGGATGTCTTCTGAAGTCTTTGGTATTCTTTGGATGTCTCTGGAAGTCTTTGGATGTCTTTGGAAGTCTTTGGGAAACTTTGGGAAACTTTGGAAGTCTTTGGAAGTCTCTGGATGTCTTTGGAAGTCTTTGAAAGTCTATGTTAACTGGAAGTCTGGTGTACACATTTTTCCTGGAGATTTACCCCTCGGTCTAGTGGGAATGATTTCCGAGATAAAGGGTGTGGAAAATCGAGATTTTTCATTTTTGGGAATTTTTTGTGTCAAAACTATTCATTATTGGTCAGAACGGCTCACATGTCCATGTCTTAACTTTTGATTTACTATTTACTCGTATTTAATTGAAACAAATACAGGGTGGTGTAGAATTCTCAGTTTCAGTCAGAATTCTACACCACCCGGTATTTGTTTCAATTAAATACGAGTAAATAGTAAATCAAAAGTTAAGACATGGACATGTGAGCCGTTCTGACCAATAATGAATAGTTTTGACACAAAAAATTCCCAAAAATGAAAAATCTCGATTTTCCACACCCTTTATCTCGGAAATCATTCCCACTAGACCCCAAGTGAGCTAGGTCGTTGAATTCAGCTTTTCAAGGAGAATATGAAAATGCAATGAAATACAGGGTGTACCATTAGAAAAAATTGATGTTCGCTTTTGTGAGCCTTTCTTGCGCCCCTCGTAGAAAATATAGTCATTCCTGAAGTTAGCACTTATAATGCGATATGATGTGGAAATATAATATTCTGAATATTCCTATTGGTTCAGGAGATATTCAACTGTCCCACTGGTCTAGGGACACCCTGTATAGGGTGTTTCTTAAGTACGTGTGATTAAATCAGGAGCATGTTGCTGACGTTTAAATAAGAAAAAAGTTTGTATAAAGATATGTACGCAAGTTATTCATCCTAAGATACAGAGTGTAAAATTTTGATTGTTATTTCGGTTTTTTGTGAATGAGTTCCAAAATAATCGTGATATTCGGGTGAGATACCAAATTTCACTCTAATATCCCTTTCATTTCTGAATTTATTCTCAAAAAAACAGGAGAAAGAGTCAAACTTTGACACTTTTATATCTCAGAAATGAATAACTTTCGGACATATGCTTATATTGCTTATCCGAAATTTTCTTATCATTTTGACGTCAGCCATATGCCCCTGTAATTTTTACGCGTACTTAAGAAACACCCGATAGAAATATTGTCAAAAACAAGAATTATCTGGAAGAAGGTTGTGTCCCATCGAAGTTCGAAGTCTATTTTTTATAATTTTCATTTTTGTGCGATTCGATGATCAAAATCGAATACATTCGCAGTGCAATTTCACTGTTCGGGAATGTAATTCTTGAACTTTCATCATCAAGAATGTTTTTTTTATGGTGGTGCATTTTGATTGTGGATCGTCCTATCGATTAAGTTGATCAGATAGGAGTTGGGTTGAAGAACGTTTTTAACTCAGTTTTTGATGTGTATTTCCATTTCGGAAACTATCAACTTTTAGGATGAGGTAAATTGGGCTAAATCCTCATATTTTTAGAGACCCTGTATATCTTTGGAATAAGAGTGGATCATCCCTCAAAAATTTTGAAAAAATTATCTAGTGTATATTATTATTATATATTATAAAATACCGATAAAATACAGTTTGAAGACATTGTCTCAATTCAAATCAAATTTTCCGGAGTGGCGAGATTAGGATATTGGCTGCATTTTCAAGAAATTTCACGAGTACATTTGAATTTCCTAATAATGGATAATTGCTCCTTCTTTAGTGCCAAGATATTTCTAGTCTCGTGTCCAGGGCTTTTTGCGTCACTAACAAGTTTTCGGCAAGCAGCCAAATTGAGAATTAAAGTTAGGCAATGGTCCAATATTTCAATAAATCAATAACTGAAGAATTTAAATGAATATGTTTCAATATCTGTATAATTGTAGATTGCGAAAAATTACTATAAATAAATCAATAGGTAAACCGCGGTCGAACTTTTGTACAGTGTGTCCAGTTTTCGTGCTTTTGCGTGATATCTCAGTAATCATTCGAGATAGAACCTCGCGGTTTTCGCAGTCCTGTGCCACTTTTTTGTGAAACTCAAGATGGCCTAATCAGATAACTTTTTCCGTTTATGAGATACAGGGCGATTTTGAAGATTTATACTTTTTGGACCTCCTCTATATCTACGAAGTTTCTCAGCGAAAATGTCAAATTGAATTCTCATCCCATATAGAATTTTACGCAGAATCCAGTGGCGCACAAATTTTTTTTTTCCAAGTCCGGTTTTGGAGATACGACTCAAACTTATGATTTTTCAAAAGGAACACCCTGTATTTTATAGGCTCATTAAATTCCTTATTTCTTTTCCATCACAATGAAATATAATGTATGAATATAAAATTTTCAAAAATGCTCCTAAAATTGAATTTTAATAGTGGGCTATGGATTTTTCATATAAAAGAAGTTCCAATTGAAGGAATATTTCTTTTGATTTTTCCATGAAGAGGACAAAACCAATTAAAATTCAATGTTTTAGTGATATTGGAGCATTTTTGAAAATTTTATATTTATACATTATATATCATTTTGAGAAGAAACAAATAAGGGATTAAATAACCTGATAAAATACAGGGTGTTCCATTTATCATAAATCATAAGTTTGAATCGTATCTCCTAAACCATACACTGACAAAAAATGCTGAGTGCGCCACTGGATTCTGCGTGAAATTCTCTATGGGATGAGATTTTAATTTGCCATTTTTGCTGAGAAACTTCGTAAATATAGAGAGGGCCCAAAAAGCATAAATTTTCAAAATTGCCCTGTACCTCATGAGCGGAAACAGTTATGCAAAATCTGATTAGCCCATCTTGAGTTTCACAAGAAAGTGGCACAATACCGCGAAAACTGCAAGGTTCTATCTCGAAAGATAACTGAGATATCACACAAAAGCATCAAAAACTGGACACACTGTACACTCAACTATTGCGTTGCGCAAGTACTTCCAAGTAATTCCAAGGAATACCAGGGGATTTCAAGATATTCCAATGAATTCGAAGGAATTCCAAAAGTTCCGAATGATGAGGTGAATGGAAACCAGGTTTCAAAAACTGCAAGGTTCTATCTCGAAAGATAACTGAGATATCACGCATAAGCATCTAAGACTGGACACACTGTACACTCAACTCTTGCGTTGCGCAAGAACTTCCAAGTAATTCCAAGGAACACCAGGGGATTTCAAGATATTCCAATGAATTCGAAGGAATTCCAAAAGTTCCGAATGATGAGGTGAATGGGGAAACCGGGGGAAACCAGGTTTAAAAGAAGCTTCAAATTATCAAAAAAATCCAAAGAATTTCAATGAATTCCACGGGGTTCCTAGGAATGCCAAAGAATAACAACGAATTGCAAATGATGAAATTAATTGAAACAGTTCCAGTTTTTTCACACCAAACCTCAACTTGTCTCAGATTCAGTATAACACGGTATAACACAAAGTCGGTCAACCACAATAAATTATATTACCAAACCAAGTTTGTGTCTAGTTTCGGCTCAACGGCCATCTTCAGACACATAAAATACCTGCAAAGATTATGAAATTACAAATAGATAATGAACTATTGACGAAAAAAGTTACCTAAGAAGACATGTTGGAGATAAGTTTAACTAAAAACTAGGTCAAAAATCGGGAAATCAGGCAGGTAATCAAGTATGTTGCTCTTTAAATCGACTAAACAGCCAAAAGAACAAATCAATAATGCATTCAACATCGGTAAGAGCAGGAAATTGAAATTTGAAAACAGCCAAAAGCAAAGAATAGGTGAAACATCAGAAAGTTAGGGAGCACGCTGTCATTTTGGTATATGATTCGCACACGTTTCACATCGATTTGGCTTGAAGTTAAGATCAATGAGAATCGATTTGGTCCAGTCAATTAAGGTCTTATGTTCCTGCATTTTTGCGTTACAGTGCTCCTAATTTGATTAAAAGATGGGGGGGGGGGAGGCTACTACATCATATGCACATGTCTTCCTTTGGAGCTGATGGTCACAATCATCGTGAAAACGATGAAAATCGACGAGGCAGACATCCAGGGCTTTGCATTATCACGGCAACCTTATCTTTGTCATACTGTTTATTCTAATGGTCTGCCTTTGGACTATCAGAGGCATGGATGTCTGCCTCATCGATTTTCTTGGTATTCATGAGAAAACTAAACATCAGTCCATGACGGGAGTGAAGTTAGCCACATCCACAAAATACACCGAGAAAAATTTATCGCCGAAAATGTGTTCAACAATTTCACCCGATTTCAGATGGAATTTGAACGCATTTCATAGGACGACTGAAGAGGGGTGAGAGCCTGAGTCGAATTTGATAGGGAGGTGGTGAATCGATAGTTTGTCAGGCCGTCTAAGGGGGTAGAAAAGGGGTTGAAAAACAAAAAAAATCATTATATCCCTTAATACTCGTTGTACATGGATTTTGGAGGCAGGAAACGATTCTACTGATTGTATTTGATAGAAAAGTGTTGAACTCATAGTTTGTCAGGCCGTCAAAGGGGGTAGAAAAGGGGTTGAAAAACAAAAAAAATCAATATCTTCGTTAATATTCGTTGTACATGGATTTTGGAGGTGACAAACGAATCTACTAATCGAATTTGATAGGAAGGTGTTGAACTCATAGTTTGTCAGGCCGTCTGAGGGGGTGAAAACGGGGTTGAAAAAAAAAATCGATATCTCCGTTAATATTCGTTGTACATGGATTTTGAAGGTGACAAACGAATCTACTAATCGAATTTGATAGGAAGGTGTTGAACTCATAGTTTGTCAGGCCGTCTAAGGGGGTGAAAACGGGGTTGAAAAACAAAAAAAAATCGATATCTCCGTTAATATCCGTTGTACATGGATTTTGAAGGTGACAAACGAATCTTCTAATCGAATTTGATAGGAAGGTGTTGAACTCATAGTTTGTCAGGCCGTCAAAGGGGGTAGAAAAGGGGTTGAAAAACAAAAAAAATCAATATCTTCGTTAATATTTGTTGTACATGGATTTTGAAGGCGGCAAACGAATCTACTAATCGGATTTGATAGGAAGGTGTTGAACTCAAAGTTTGTCAGGCCGTCAAAGGGGGTATAAAAGGGGTTAAAAACAAAAAAAAATCAATATCTTCGTTAATATTCGTTGTACATGGATTTTGAAGGTGACAAACGAATCTACTAATCGAATTTGATAGGAAGGTGTTGAACTCATAGTTTGTCAGGCGGTCTAAGGGGGTGAAAACGGGGTTGAAAAACAAAAAAAATCGATATCTCCGTTAATATTCGTTGTACATGGATTTTGAAGGCGGCAAACGAATCTTCTAATCGAATTTGATAGAGAGGTGGTGAACTCATAGTTTGTCAGGCCGTCTAAGGGGGTAGAAAAGGGGTTGAAAAACAAAAAAAATCAATATCTTCGTTAATATTCGTTGTACATGGATTTTGAGGGCGGCAAACAAATCTACTAATCGAATTTGATAAAGAAGTGGTGAACTCATAGTTTGTCAGGCCGTCTAAGGGGGTAGAAGAGGGGTTGAGAACAAAAAAAATCAATATCTTCGTTAATATTCGTTGTACATGAATTATGAAGGCGGCAAACGAATCTACTAATCGAATTTGATAGGAAGGTGTTGAACTCATAGTTTGTCAGGCCGTCTAAGGGGGTGAAAACGGGGTTGAAAAACAAAAAAAATCGATATCTCCGTTAATATCCGTTGTACATGGATTTTGAAGGTGACAAACGAATCTTCTAATCGAATTTGATAGGAAGGTGTTGAACTCATAGTTTGTCAGGCCGTCAAAGGGGGTAGAAAAGGGGTTGAAAAACAAAAAAAATCAATATCTTCGTTAATATTTGTTGTACATGGATTTTGAAGGCGGCAAACGAATCTACTAATCGGATTTGATAGGAAGGTGTTGAACTCAAAGTTTGTCAGGCCGTCAAAGGGGGTATAAAAGGGGTTAAAAACAAAAAAAAATCAATATCTTCGTTAATATTCGTTGTACATGGATTTTGAAGGTGACAAACGAATCTACTAATCGAATTTGATAGGAAGGTGTTGAACTCATAGTTTGTCAGGCGGTCTAAGGGGGTGAAAACGGGGTTGAAAAACAAAAAAAATCGATATCTCCGTTAATATTCGTTGTACATGGATTTTGAAGGTGACAAACGAATCTACTAATCGAATTTGATAGGAAGGTGTTGAACTCATAGTTTGTCAGGCCGTCTAAAGGGGTGAAAACGGGGTTGAAAAACAAAAAAAATCGATATCTCCGTTAATATTCGTTGTACATGGATTTTGAAGGTGACAAACGAATCTACTAATCGAATTTGATAGGAAGGTGTTGAACTCATAGTTTGTCAGGCCGTCTAAGGGGGTAGAAAAGGGGTTGAAAAACAAAAAAAATCATTATCTCCGTTAATACTCGTTGTACATGGATTTTGGAGGCAGGAAACGATTTTACTGATTGTATTTGATAGAAGAGTGTTGAACTCATAGTTTGTCAGGCCGTCTAAGGGGGTGGAAACGGGGTTGAAAAACAAAAAAAATCGATATCTCTGTTAATATTCGTTGTACATGGATTTAGAAGGTGACAAACGAATCTACTAATCGAATTTGATAGGGAGGTGGTGAACTCATAGTTTGTCAGGCCGTCTAAAGGGGTTGAAGAGGGGTTGAGAACAAAAAAAAATCAATATCTTCGTTAATATTCGTTGTACATGAATTATGAAGGCGGCAAACGAATCTACTAATCGAATTTGATAGGAAGGTTTTGAACTCATAGTTTGTCAGGCCGTCTAAGGGGGTGAAAACGGGGTTGAAAAACAAAAAAAAATCGATATCTCCGTTAATATTCGTTGTACATGGATTTTGAAGGTGACAAACGAATCTACTAATCGAATTTGATAGGAAGGTGTTGAACTCATAGTTTGTCAGGCCGTCAAAGGGGGTAGAAAAGGGGTTAAAAGCAAAAAAAAAATCAATATCTTCGTTAATATTCGTTGTACATGGATTTTGAAGGCGGCAAACGAATCTTCTAATCGAATTTGATAGAGAGGTGGTGAACTCATAGTTTGTCAGGCCGTCTAAGGGGGTAGAAAAGGGGTTGAAAAAACAAAAAAAATCAATATCTTCGTTAATATTCGTTGTACATGGATTATGAGGGCGGCAAACAAATTTACTAATCGAATTTGATAAAGAAGTGGTGAACTCATAGTTTGTCAGGCCGTCTAAGGGGGTAGAAGAGGGGTTGAGAACAAAAAAAATCAATATCTTCGTTAATATTCGTTGTACATGAATTATGAAGGCGGCAAACGAATCTACTAATCGAATTTGATAGGAAGGTGTTGAACTCATAGTTTGTCAGGCCGTCTAAGGGGGTAGTAGAGGGGTTGAAAAACAAAAAAAAAACTCCGTTAATATTCGTTGTAATGGATTTTGAAGGCGGCAAACGATTCTACTAATCTAATTTGATTGGAAGGTGTTGAATTCATAGTTTGTCAGGTCGTCTAAGAGGGAAGGAAGGGAGTTGAAAAAGGAAATAAATCATTATCTCCGATAAGATCAGTTATGTTGATGAAGAAATACAAAGTCATGACAAAATGAACAGCAAGTTCAGAAAATATGAGTTATCTGAGAATTCAGATATTTTGTTATATCTGATATTGAATTGTATTTCTACTGATTCTGCTATTGCTGAACAAACACTCATGTAATTTCTGAGTCTTCGAAAAAATATGTGGAATAGTTTTCCATCGAAAAAGATTAAATGTCATGTTCATAAGATTCTTTGAGTTTTATCAAAAAATAATCGATAGATTTCATTTCAAATGTCATTGATTATCAATATTGTAAGATGGTGTGAACTCACATTTTTTTACAATTGCATGTGGAATAATCTGCAAAAAATTTATAAAATTAATGACAATTTTGAAGAAATGCTTCATTAAAAAATATATTTTGTTAGGATGAACTTGAAAAAACGATCCATAACAGCTTTCAGACAAGAAATCGTATAATCTATTTTTCATGACTCATCAGACGGAAACTATTATTCTCGAATCGCGAAAGAGTTTACTCTGGTTAAGTTTCCGCAGATGGATCCAACCATAGATGTAGATTATGAAATACATAGAGCGGCAGCACCTCCTTACAGTTCAGAAACGCCAAATTTGTCGCTATCACGATTCTTTATTAAATTGAATAATGTTCATATCTTCGCACGTTGGAGGGGGGCTATTATGAAAGAAAAGAAACGAAAAATATTTAAAATTTTGCATCCTAAATAGATCTTTATTGATTAATTATAAAACTCAACAGATAGAACTCTATAAAAAATGGTAACACTTCGAAAATAACGTTTATTAAGTAGAGGATACACTACCCAATGTACAAAATGATTTTTTATGATGAAAAAAAAAATAAGGTTCTCAATCAGATTATCTAGGTTCCCGGAAAGTGTTATTATGAAAAAACTCACTGATTTTGTATAAGAACATCATAAACGGCATATTTTGTAAA